TCAGTCTCTCAGTCATGATAGAAGGTGTTCAGTCTCTCAGTCATGATAGAAGGTGTTCAGTCTCTCAGTCATGATAGAAGGTGTTCAGTCTCTCAGTCATGATAGAAGGTGTTCAGTCTCTCAGCCTTGATAGAAAGTTTTCAGTCCTTCAGTCATAATAGAAGGTGTTCAGTCCTTCAGTCATGATAGAAGGTGTTCAGTCTCTCAGTCATGATGGAAGGTGTTCAGTCTCTCAGTCATGATAGAAGGTGTTCAGTCCTTCAGTCATGATAGAAGGTGTTCAGTCTCTCAGTCATGATAGAAGGTGTTCAGTCTCTCAGTCATGATAGAAGGTGTTCAGTCTCTCAGTCATGATAGCAGGTGTTCAGTCTCTCAGCCTTGATAAAAGGTGTTCAGTCCTTCAGTCATGATAGAAGATGTTCAGTCTCTCAGTCATGATAGAAGGTGTTCAGTCTCTCAGTCATGGTAGAAGGTGTTCAGTCCTTCAGTCATGACAGAAGCTGTTCAGTCTCTCAGTCATGATAGGAGGTGTTCAGTCTCTCAGTCATGATAGAAGGTGTTCAGTCTCTCAGTCATGATAGAAGGTGTTCAGTCTCTCAGTCATGATAGAAGGTGTTCAGTCTCTCAGTCATGACAGAAGGTGTTCAGTCCTTCAGTCATGATAGAAGGTGTTCAGTCCTTCAGTCATGATAGAAGGTGTTCAGTCTCTCAGTCATGATGGAAGGTGTTCAGTCTCTCAGTCATGATAGAAGGTGTTCAGTCCCTCAGCCTTGATAGAAGGTGTTCAGTCCCTCAGCCTTGATAGAAGGTGCTCAGTCTCTCAGTCATGATAGAAGGTGTTCAGTCCTTCAGTCATGATAGAAGGTGTTCAGTCCTTCAGTCATGATAGAAGGTGTTCAGTCTCTCAGTCATGATAGAAGGTGTTCAGTCTCTCAGTCATGATAGAAGGTGTTCAGTCTCTCAGTCATGATAGAAGGTGTTCAGTCCTTCAGTCATGATAGAAGGTGTTCAGTCTCTCAGTCATGATAGAAGGTGTTCAGTCCTTCAGTCATGATAGAAGGTGTTCAGTCTCTCAGTCATGATAGAAGGTGTTCAGTCCCTCAGCCTTGATAGAAGGTGTTCAGTCCTTCAGTCATGATAGAAGGTGTTCAGTCCTTCAGTCATGATAGAAGGTGTTCAGTCTCTCAGTCATGATAGAAGGTGTTCAGTCTATCAGTCATGATAGAAGGTGTTCAGTCTCTCAGTCATGATAGAAGGTGTTCAGTCCTTCAGTCATGATAGAAGGTGTTCAGTCTCTCAGTCATGATAGAAAGTGTTCAGTCTCTCAGTCATGATAGAAGGTGTTCAGTCTCTCAGCCATGATAGAAGGTGTTCAGTCTCTCAGTCATGATAGAAGTGTTTTCAGTCTCTCAGTCTTGATAGAAGGTGTTCAGTCTCTCAGTCATGATAGAAGGTGTTCAGTCTCAGTCATGATAGAAGGTGTTCAGTCTCTCAGTCATGATAGAAGGTGTTCAGTCTCTCAGTCATGATAGAAGGTGTTCAGTCTCTCAGTCATGATAGAAGGTGTTCAGTCTCTCAGTCATGATAGAAGGTGTTCAGTCTCTCAGTCATGATAGAAGGTGTTCAGTCCTTCAGTCATGATAGAAGGTGTTCAGTCTCTCAGTCATGATAGAAGGTGTTCAGTCTCTCAGCCTTGATAGAAGGTGTTCAGTCCTTCAGTCATGATAGAAGGTGTTCATTCCTTCAGTCATAATAGAAGGTGTTCAGTCTCTCAGTCATGATAGAAGGTGTTCAGTCTCTCAGTCATGATAGAAGGTGTTCAGTCTCTCAGTCATGATAGAAGGTGTTCAGTCCTTCAGTCATGATAGAAGGTGTTCAGTCTCTCAGTCATGATAAAAGGTGTTCAGTCTCTCAGTCATGATAGAAGGTGTTCAGTCTCTCAGTCATGATAGAAGGTGTTCAGTCTCTCAGTCATGATAGAAGGTGTTCAGTCTCTCAGCCTTGATAGAAGGTGTTCAGTCTCTCAGTCTTGATAGAAGGCGTTCAGTCTCTCAGTCATGATAGAAGGTGTTCAGTCTATCAGTCATGATAGAAGGTGTTCAGTCCTTCAGTCATGATAGAAGGTGTTCAGTCTCTCACTCCTGATAGAAGGTGTTCAGTCTCTCAGTCATGATAGAAGGTGTTCAGTCTCTCAGTCATGATAGAAGGTGTTCAGTCTCTCAGTCATGATAGAAGGTGTTCAGTCCTTCAGTCATGATAGAAGGTGTTCAGTCTCTCAGTCATGATAGAAGGTGTTCAGTCTCTCAGTCATGATAGAAGGTGTTCAGTCTCTCAGTCATGATAAAAGGTGTTCAGTCTCTCAGTCATGATAGAAGGTGTTCAATCTCTCAGTCATGATAGAAGGTGTTCAGTCTCTCAGTCATGATAGAAGGTGTTCAGTCTCTCAGTCATGATAGAAGGTGTTCAGTCCTTCAGTCATGATTGAAGGTGTTCAGTCTCTCAGTCATGATAGAAGGTGTTCAGTCTCTCAGTCATGATAGAAGGTGTTCAGTCTCTCAGTCATGATAAAAGGTGTTCAGTCTCTCAGTCATGATAGAAGGTGTTCAGTCCTTCAGTCATGATAGAAGGTGTTCAGTCTCTCAGTCATGATAGAAGGTGTTCAGTCTCTCAGTCATGATAGAAGGTGTTCAGTCTCTCAGTCTTGATAGAAGGTGTTCAGTCTCTCAGTCATGATAGAAGGTGTTCAGTCTCTCAGTCATGATAGAAGGTGTTCAGTCTCTCAGTCATGATAGAAGGTGTTCAGTCCTTCAGTCATGATAGAAGGTGTTCAGTCTCTCAGTCATGATAGAAGGTGTTCAGTCTCTCAGCCTTGATAGAAGGTGTTCAGTCCTTCAGTCATGATAGAAGGTGTTCAGTCTCTCAGTCATGATAGAAGGTGTTCAGTCTCTCAGTCATGATAGGTGTTCAGTCTCTCAGTCATGATAGAAGGTGTTCAGTCTCTCAGTCATGATAGAAGGTGTTCAGTCCTTCAGTCATGACAGAAGGTGTTCAGTCCTTCAGTCATGATAGAAGGTGTTCAATCTCTCAGTCATGATAGAAGGTGTTCAGTCTCTCAGTCATGATAGAAGGTGTTCAGTCCTTCAGTCATGACAGAAGGTGTTCAGTCCTTCAGTCATGATAGAAGGTGTTCAATCTCTCAGTCATGATAGAAGGTGTTCAGTCTCTCAGTCATGACAGAAGGTGTTCAGTCCTTCAGTCATGATAGAAGGTGTTCAATCTCTCAGTCATGATAGAAGGTGTTCAGTCTCTCAGTCATGATAGAAGGTGTTCAGTCTCTCAGTCATGATAGAAGGTGTTCAGTCCTTCAGTCATGATAGAAGGTGTTCAGTCTCTCAGTCATGATAGAAGGTATTCAGTCTCTCAGTCATGATAGAAGGTGTTCAGTCTCTCAGTCATGATAGAAGGTGTTCAGTCCTTCAGTCATGATAGAAGGTGTTCAATCTCTCAGTCATGATAGAAGGTGTACAGTCTCTCAGTCATGATAGAAGGTGTTCAGTCTCTCAGTCATGATAGAAGGTGTTCAGTCCTTCAGTCATGATAGAAGGTGTTCAGTCTCTCAGTCATGATAGAAGGTGTTCAGTCTCTCAGTCATGATAGAAGGTGTTCAGTCTCTCAGTCATGATAAAAGGTGTTCAGTTTCTCAGTCATGATAGAAGGTGTTCAGTCATTCAGTCATGATAGAAGGTGTTCAGTCTCTCAGTCATGATAGAAGGTGTTCAGTCTCTCAGTCATGATAGAAGGTGTTCAGTCTCTCAGTCATGATAGAAGGTGTTCAGTCTCTCAGTCATGATAGAAGGTGTTCAGTCTCTCAGTCATGATAGAAGGTGTTCAGTCTCTCAGTCATGATAGAAGGTGTTCAGTCCTTCAGTCATGATAGAAGGTGTTCAGTCTCTCAGTCATGATAGAAGGTGTTCAGTCTCTCAGCCTTGATAGAAGGTGTTCAGTCCTTCAGTCATGATAGAAGGTGTTCAGTCTCTCAGTCATGATAGAAGGTGTTCAGTCTCTCAGTCATGATAGGTGTTCAGTCTCTCAGTCATGATAGAAGGTGTTCAGTCTCTCAGTCATGATAGAAGGTGTTCGGTCCTTCAGTCATGATAGAAGGTGTTCAGTCTCTCAGTCATGATAGAAGGTGTTCAGTCTCTCAGTCATGATAGAAGGTGTTCAGTCTCTCAGTCATGATAGAAGGTGTTCAGTCTCTCAGTCATGATAGAAGGTGTTCAGTCTCTCAGTCATGATATAAGTGTTCAGTCCTCTGACTCTGACAAAAGTAAAGCAGATGTTTAGTCCTTTAGACCTTCAGATGTTCAGTCCCTCAGAGCTGACGGACTAAAACTCGCAAAATTACCTCTTCACCTCTACTATGGGCGAAACATCACCAAGATGAAGATACCCAAGTGATGTTTTTCTTATCAACTTGAAGGTATTTTGTACCTTATACATATTGATATTTATCAATTCATCATATAAATGCAACCAAGTCCCAAATTTTGTAGCATATATTTTATAAATAAATTTTAAATAAACAGTGTGTTGAGTTCGTTATCCTGAAGTTGTGAGATACTAGCCAGGATTCTGACAGTTTTACTTATTTCTTTTTGACGCACCAACCGTCTCCCACCGAGGCAATGTGACCTAAAAAATTGAAAGAAAGGCTTTCTGTTTCCATTTATGGGGAGTTACTAGCCACAGTTTGTTTCCTCTGTTTATTCTGCTAGTCCCAAGGTAGCTTCCGTTCTTTGATACTCTCTGTTAACAGGGATCAACATCGATGTTTTAGAAAGATGAGCTGGTTTTCTCCCCGACATATGTGACTGATTCCCCTGAATGTGGTTTAGACAGGCAAATATTTCAGTCAATCCTGATTGCCTCTCTATTCCCCCAGGTATTATGTGACCCCGTAGAGGTCAGACAGCCCATCCTGACGCACCCCTGAGACTCACCTGGCTGAAGAGTGATATACCTCTCTCGGTGACCTGGCCAAGACGTGCCCCGGAGAAGTGTAGGACGTCCTGCATTGTAGGGTACAGGTCGAAGGGCGTGGTGAGGCGGTGCACGTTCATCCTGAAAGTGCAGTGTTGGGGTTTAATGGTGCACCACTCAGCTCATCTCAGCTATTTCAGGTACTAACACAGACACACTTACATAGGCGATATATATATATATATATATATAATATATATATATATTATATATATATATATATTATATATATTTATATAATATATGTCGTGCCGAATATGTAAAACTGGTCAACTAGCAAGAACTCATTTAAAATTAAGTTCTTTCTGAAATTTTCTCTTATTCGTTTAAAGATATATTTTTTTCATTAATGTTAATGTAAAAATTCTTAATTTTGCACCAAAAGAATCTTAGAAAACTTACCTAACCTTATTATAAAAAGAGCAATTTATTTTAGCCTAACCCAACTAAATATATTTTAAATACGTTTACAATAATTTATTACTAAACAAACACAATCAAATGTATTTTTTTTCGTTAGATCATAATGATTTTGGCGAAATTATTGCATACACAAATTTTCACTTGTCCTATATGGCAAGATGAGCGTTGCTATTTAAGCCAAGATCGCAAGTTCTGCCTATTCGGCACGACATATATATATATATATATATATATATATATATTATATATATATATATATATTATATATATATATATATATAATATATATATATATATATATATATTAGATCTTCTAAGACCATGTCTCTAAAACTTACATTTACTCAGTATACAACCTCATCTATAATGAGAGTGACTACAGTGACATCACGTACCTCTGTCCAGATTTAACTACACTGGGAAACACACCTTTCCTTCCCTACAGACTCTCAAGCTACATTCTTATATCAGGCTTTTGTTTATAGCTTTCATAGAAGTATATACACCGTGAGTTGTATGTCTCTCAGCGCATGCATGCTGAGAGCTTAATCCCTGTGTCAGTATGGCAGGGATCACAGTATTCTTGATTGGTGGTGAGTAGGTAATATGCAGCCTTAATGATTCTTGTGTAATCGATAGGTTTTAAACCTCCATTAGTCAAGCAACCAACATCATTTAATGTCAACATCTGCAACATCTACCATATAGTTTACCTATTGAAGCCATATATGCACATCACAAGAAGAGAGGATGCTAGCTATAGATCAAAGTGTAATTATAGAAAGAAACTTTGCACCTTGCTAATCAATCACTTTCAGCTACTTTTTTTTATAGCAAAATAAGATACATGTGCAATATGTTGGTACTATGTTCTATATAACAGTTAAATAGTAGGAACAGAAGCTAGCTATATTTCTCTGTCATATTTCATCACATGGAATCCGATAGGAAATACCATTGTACGTATGATGAACACTGATGGATGTGAGAGGACGACCCACATGAGACAAAAAAAAACGACTTCCAGCTGATGCCTTGTTTAGCAGATACTCTAAATGGATTTTAAATGAAAAAACTTTTCGATTCATTTCTCGTGTGATGTGGGTTGTCCTCTCTCAAGGCTTCCATTCTTAAGTGTCTTGACGCTGACCCACCTGACGTTGTCAGCGGCTGACGGGTACGTGTCCTTGAGCACCTTGGGCAGCACCAGTGCCATGAAGGGGAGGCGCTCCTCCTGCTTGCCCTGCTGAGTGCCTCTGATGGTAGTGAACCTGACAACATCACAAGCAGGTCCGTGGTTGTTACAAACATGATCGAATCAACTTTCATAAAAAATTAGTTTGGATTTAAATATGAATATACCTCAAGGTTCTATAAATTAGATTTATTTATAATTAATAAAATTTATAAGGAATTTAAACTATGTCTGACATGTTACTCATGCAATGTACTTGATTTGTGTTCTGACCAAATTTTTGTTGCTCTCCTACGCTCAGCGTGCTAGGTCATGTCACATTGTTGCTCTCCTACACTCAGCGTGCTAGGTCATGTCACATTGTTGCTCTCCTACGCTCAGCGTGCTGGGTCATGTCACACTGTTGCTCTCCTACGCTCAGCGTGCTAGGTCATGTCACACTGTTGCTCTCCTACGCTCAGCGTGCTGGGTCATGTCACACTGTTGCTCTCCTACGCTCAGCGTGCTGGGTCATGTCACGTTTGCTCTCCTACACTCCAGCGTGCTGGTCATGTCACATTGTTGCTCTCCTACGCTCAGCGTGCTAGGTCATGTCACATTGTTTGCTCTCCTACGCTCAGCGTGCTAGGTCATGTCCACATTGTTGCTCTCCTAGCTCAGCGTGCTAGGTCATGTCACATAGTTGCTCTCCTACGCTCAGCGTGCTAGGTCATGTCACATTGTTGCTCTCCTACGCTCAGCGTGCTAGGTCATGTCACATTGTTGCTCTCCTACGCTCAGCGTGCTAGGTCATGTCACATTGTTGCTCTCCTACACTCAGCGTGCTGGGTCATGTCACATTGTTGTTCTCCTACTCTCAGCGTCCTAGGTCATGTCACATTGTTGCTCTCCTACGCTCAGCGTGCTAGGTCATGTCACATTATTGCTCTCCTACACTCAGCGTGCTGGGTCATGTCACATTGTTGCTCTCCTACGCTCAGCGTGCTAGGTCATGTCACATTGTTGCTCTCCTACGCTCAGCGTGCTAGGTCATGTCACATAGTTGCTCTCCTACGCTCAGCGTGCTAGGTCATGTCACATTGTTGCTCTCCTACACTCAGCGTGCTAGGTCATGTCACATTGTTGCTCTCCTACGCTCAGCGTGCTGGGTCATGTCACATTGTTGCTCTCCTACGCTCAGCGTGCTAGGTCATGTCACATTGTTACTCTCCTACGCTCAGCGTGCTAGGTCATGTCACATTGTTACTCTCCTACGCTCAGCGTGCTAGGTCATGTCACATTGTTACTCTCCTACGCTCAGCGTGCTAGGTCATGTCACATTGTTGCTCTCCTACACTCAGCGTGCTGGGTCATGTCACATTGTTGCTCTCCTACACTCAGCGTGCTGGGTCATGTCACATTGTTGCTCTCCTACACTCAGCGTGCTGGGTCATGTCACATTGTTGCTCTCCTACGCTCAGCGTGCTAGGTCATGTCACATTGTTGCTCTCCTACGCTCAGCGTGCTAGGTCATGTCACATTGTTGCTCTCCTACGCTCAGCGTGCTAGGTCATGTCACATTGTTGCTCTCCTATGCTCAGCGTGCTAGGTCATGTCACATTGTTGCTCTCCTACGCTCAGCGTGCTAGGTCATGTCACATTGTTGCTCTCCTACACTCAGCGTGCTAGGTCATGTCACATTGTTGCTCTCCTACACTCAGCGTGCTGGGTCATGTCACATTGTTGCTTTCCTACACTCAGCGTGCTAGGTCATGTCACATTGTTGCTCTCCTACACTCAGCGTGCTAGATCATGTCACATTGTTGCTCTCCTACGCTCAGCGTGCTGGGTCATGTCACATTGTTGCTCTCCTACACTCAGCGTGCTAGGTCATGTCACATTGTTGCTCTCCTACGCTCAGCGTGCTAGGTCATGTCACATTGTTGCTCTCCTACGCTCAGCGTGCTGGGTCATGTCACATGTTAGCCTTAAAATTCTGTTTTTCACAGTGGTTATTCTTCACACACACACGCACACGCACACGCACACACACACACACACACACACACACACACACACACACACACACACACACACACACATACACACACACACGCACACACACACACGCACACGCACACACACACACAAATGCAAAGTCATGAATACCGGGGAAGGGCGAAGAAAACCTCAGACAGAGTATAGTCTAGGTGGCCAAACACTGCAAACCTCACTCAAGAAAAAGATCTTGGGGTGAGTATAACACCGAGCACATCTCCGGAAGCGCACAACAACCAGATAACTGCTGCAGCTTATGGGCTCCTGGCAAACTTGAGAATAGCGTTCCGATACCTCAGCAAGGAATCGTTCAAGATTCTGTATATCGTGTACGTCAGGCCCATACTGGGGTACGCAGCACCAGTTTGAAATCCACACCTGGTCAAGCACGTCAAGAAATTAGAGAAAGTGCAAAGGTTTGCAACAAGGCTGGTTCCAGAGCTAAGGGGAATGTCATACGAAGAAAGGTTAAGGGAAATCGGCCTAACGACACTGGAGGACAGGAGGGTCAGGGGAGACAGGATAACGACATACAAAATACTGAGAGGAATACATAAAGTGGACAGAGACAGGATGTTCCAGAGATGGGTCACAGAAACAAGGGGTCACAATTAGAAGTTGAAGACTCAGCTGAGTCAAAGAGATGTTAGGAAGTATTTCTTTGATCATAGAGTTGTCAGGAAGTGGAATAGTCTAGAAAGTGAGGTAGTGGAGGCAAGAACCACATAGTTTTAAGACGAGGTATGATAAAGCTCATGGAGCAGGAAGAGAGAGAAGATCTAGTGTGTGTGAATACACACACACACACACACACACACAAGCCACCTACCTTTCAGTACATAATAAACCCACACATAATTTCACACAAAATTACACACACACACTCGTTCACCTTCCCCCTCCCCACCCCTCCCCACTCCTCTCCCACATAGCCACAGTTCCTCCACTACCTCCCCCCCCCACACTCTGACATACACACTACTAACATAACATACAGAACTACATAGGTTTCCCACTCTGAGGCAATCAGGATAAAACAAAAATGGGTTGCCAGAGAGCAACAAGAAAAACCAAGGGACAGGAGGAGGAAGCTGCAAAGGAAGATTGGCAGCAGAGCTCACAAAAAGGATCATGAATGGAAAAGAAACTAGAAGAACTTAGCATGAGAATGGAAGAGAGGATAGATATGGAAAGAGGAAGTGGGAGGTGCATGTCAAAGCAGCAGAGGCTAGGATACAGAGTTTTAGAAGAGGAACTGAAAAATCTGAAACAGCCTAAAGAACTAAAGAACATTTTGGGATTGACAACAGAGACTGCTACCCAGCCACAAATAAGGGAACAGTAGGGAAAGAAGGAGCACAACAACTGCATGAGAGGCTCTATCAGAGGAGACTCTAGTAAATGAAAGAGCTAAGCTTTATGTGGAGGCCCTAACAGACAACAACAGAGCCCAAGGAAAGCCGAGAAGGGAAAATGACAGGCCACTGAGCCCAAGTACATTAGCCAGTGAAACTGAAGAAAGGAAAGCTGCAGTGGAGGAAACCAAATTAAATGAGGGAACCGGATATGCAGTGGGAGAATGAAAGGTGAGGTCAGTCTTTGTGTATGGGCTCCAGGAAGTTGAAGGGGAAAACATATGAAGCAAGAAAACAAGTGGAAAAAAAAGCAATTGAAAGCATCATGAAAAGCAATAAGAAGACGACATGACCCAGCTGGAAAATTTCGGAGAATAGGGGGTTTGTAAAAAAAAGAACCTGGCCAGTGAAAGTGACCTTCAAGGCAGAAGCACTCGAACAGGATCCTGCAGAGAAAAACGATTAAGGGACATGCCTGCATACAGGAAGGTGTATCTCGACCGCGACAGAACACAAGAAGAAAGGCAGAAACTGAGAGAGATAGTACAAAGGCGAAAAGAGGAAAGAGAGGGGATGGAGAAGACAGACAGGAGATCCCAGACCCAGGAAGAAGATCAAATACAGCCTCCCTCACAAACTTCCTATAGAAGCCTCCCAACCAGGTCAACCCCAGTGCAACCAAACATTCTAAATCAAAACAACCCATGCCACATACAATGCCCCCACCCACTACATTACAAACTCCACCCCCACATCAACAACCCATAGTTCCTACCAGGTCTCCCACTTCCCCAACCCCAATACACCTCCCAGATAGAATAACAAACAAGTATTGAGGAGTGGCACGAAAGAATCAAGGAGACACCCCAGACATAATAGCCCCTCACAGAAAAAAAAACTCACCAGAATAATAACAGATTCAATCTTTCCATCCGGATATCAGTTTCCCTCAGGAAAGAAAGGGAGGAGAGGGGGAGGAGGAGTTGCACTGCTCATTAAAAACCAGTGGGGTTTTGAGAAAATGGAAGGAGGGGGATGGCAGGGGCGAAAGGGACTACTTAGTGGGAAAACAATCCAGTCTGAGGGACATAAGGTGATAATTGCAGTAATGTACAACCCCCACAGAACTGCAGGAGGCCAAGAGAAGAATATAAATGAGAGCAACAGAGCAATAAATCGACACGCTAGCCGAGGTGGCCAGGATAGCACACATGAGGGGAGCAAAGTTACTAGTTATGGGTGATTTCAATCACAAGGAGATTGACTGGGAAAACCTGGAGCCCCATGGGGTCCCGAAACATGGAGAGCCAAGATGATGGATGTGGTACTGGAAAACCTTCATGCATCAACATGTTAGAGACACTACCAGAGAGACAGGAGAGGATTTAAACCCGCAAGAAATGGACCTTGTATTCACTTTTAGTAGTTCGGACATCGAGGGTATCATGTATGAAAGGCCCCTGGGAGCTAGTGAACATGTGGTTCTGTGCTTTGACTACATAGTTGAGCTCCAAGTAGAGAGAGTAGCAGGAATAGGCTGGGAAAAACCAAACTACAAAAGGGGAACTACTCAGGCATGAGGAACTTCCTTCAAGACATTCAGGGGAGAGGGAACTGACAGGAAAACCAGTGCAAGAAATATGGACTATGTGGCAACAAAATGCAAGGGGGCAGAGGAGAGGTTTGTTCCCAAGGGAAACAGAAATAATGGGAAAAACAGAACGATTCCTTGGTTCACCCCCAAAAGGGGTAGGGAGGCAAAAAACTAGGTGTACTTTGAGAATGGAAAAGGTACAGAAGACAGAAAAAATCAGGAAAAAAAAGAGATTAGCCGAAGAGCCAGAAACGAATATGCACAGATAAGAAGGGAGGCTCAGAGACAATATGAAAATGACATAGCATCAAAAGTAAAGACTGACCCGAAGCTGTTGTACAGCCACATCAGGGGGAAAACAACAGTCAAGGACCAGGTAATCAGACTGAGGAAGGGTGATGGGGAATTCACAAGAAACGACCGAGAGGTATGTCGGGAGCTCAACATAAGATTTAAAGAGGTATTTACAGTGGAAACCAGTAGGACTCCAGAAAATCAGAACAGGGGGGCACACCAGCAAGTGCTGGATGAGGTACATATAACCAAGGAGGAGGTGAAGAAGCTGCTATGCGAACTTGACACCTCAAAGGCGGTGGGACCAGACAACATCTCTCCATGGGTCCTTAAAGAGGGAGCAGAGATATTGTGTGAGCCATTAACAAAGATCTTCAACACATCATTTGAAACTGGGCAACTCCCTGAAGTATGGAAAATGGCAAATGTAGTCCCAATTTTTAAAAAGGGAGACAGACATGAGGCACTAAACTACAGACCTGTATCACTAACGTGTATAGTATGCAAGGTCATGGAGAAGATCATCAGGAGGAGAGTGGTAGAGCACCTGGAAAGAAACAAGTGTATAAATGACAACCAGCACGGTTTCAGGGAAGGAAAATCCTGTGTCACAAACCTACTTGAGTTTTATGACAAGGTGACAGAAGTAAGACAAGAGAGAGAGGGGTGGATCGACTGCATATTTTTGGACTGCAAGAAGGCCTTCGACACAGTTCCTCACAAGAGGTTACTGCAAAAGCTAGAGGATCAGGTACACATAACAGGAAAGGCACTGCAATGGATCAGAGAATACCTGACAGGGAGGCAACAACGAGTCATGGTACGCGACGAGGTGTCAGAGTGGGCGCCTGTGACAAGCGGGGTTCCACAGGGGTCAGTCCTAGGACCTGTGCTGTTCTTGGTATATGTGAACGACATAAGGGAAGGGATAGACTCAGAAGTGTCCTTGTATGCAGATGATGCGAAGTTAATGAGAATAATCAAATCGGATGAGGATCAGGCAGGACTACAAAGAGACCTGGACAGGCTACAATGTAGACAGCCTGTACTGTGCACAGACAGCCCATGCTGTCTGCCAGCTTAGTTCATATTTCGCGCCATGCTGGTGCTGCCACCTATAGGCGTTGCCACTTCAGCCTACCTGCCCTTGTCTCACTCTCACTCTCACAGTGGCCTAGCAGCAAGACACAAGGTCTATTAGTAGCTCTCTCTCATGGGATGGCCCTCCCGGGCCATGGGCACAACACACAAGCCTGTGTACCCACCACGACTTAACAATAAAGTAAGAAGCCTCCGAAGACGTATAATTCACACCCCGCTTTAAGTCCTACCAAATAATCCGTTATAAATGGTGGAAAGTGGTGGTCGCAGCAGTTGTTTGCCCAGAGAGAGGAAGGAAGAGGTATGAAGTCATCTTCACTTCATCACCCTACACAACAAGCATCCGTCTCTCAACGAGTTATCCTGATGTCGTGTCTGCACATTTGAGCATCCAGACACAGGTACGCTCCACGCTCGCCGGCAGTGACAGCCCAGCGACAGTACCATTCGAGAAGTGTCCTCCTGAGTCGCTTGCCAGAAGTCCTGCCCAGTTGCCGAGTTTTGTCGACGCCACACTCGAGGGCACCAGCATGTCGTGCCCCAGGTTGAGTGAAAACCTGCAGCGACTCCTACGATGACTGCTTCACCGTTCCAGAGGAGACCGTACCCTGTTACATCACAGCTCAGCCGCAGCGATGTCTCCCGTGTTGCAGTATCTGTCCAGACGCAGGAAGGCATGCAGTGATGCAATTCGACGCTCACTGCCTATGACCACGATGTTTAGCACACCCCACATGTTTTTTTCTTCCCTCCCTGTAGGAAGTTTTTTTTCCATGTTCATATGTATATATATATTTTTATTTTGTGTTCTGTGCCCCGTTCCTACGAGAGAGAGACCGGTTTCTTTACCACATTAATTGTCGCGTCGGACGATGGGGGTGGGGGCCCGAGCGTATTAGACAGCCGTACTTTTAAACAGCACCCCATGCTGTCTCCCACTTTTTTTCATATTTCGCGCCAGCTGGTGCTGCCACCAAAGGGTTGCCCTTCACCTCCCTGCCCTTACCTCACCCCACCTCACAGCGCCTAGCAGCAAGACACAAGGCCTACTATAGTCTCTCCTCGGGGATGGCCCTCCCGGGGGCCATAGGCCAACACCAAGCCTGTGTACCCCCCACACAAAACAATAAATTAAGAAGCCTCCGAAACGTATAATTCCACCCGCTTTCCCCTCCCCAAAATTCCGTTATAAAAACCTGGTCCAGCAACGGGCTCCTAATTTAGCCGTCAAATGCAAGTCAAAAAGATTGGGAAGGGGAAAAGAAACCGCAACACAATATAGTTTAGAGGGCCCAAAAGACTGCAAACCTCACTCAAGGAAAAGATCTGGGGTGATATAACACCGACAATCCCGAGGCGACATCAATCAAAACTGCGCAGCAACGGGCGCCTGGCAAACCTACGGAAAGCGTCCAATACCTCAGTAAGGATTCGTTTAAGCTCTTTTAAACCTTTACGTCGGGGCCCCCATACGGGAGTAGCAGCCCTTTTGGAACCCACCCTATCAAAAACGTCAAGAAAAGGGGAAAGTGCAAAGTTCAAAAAGACAGTCCCAAGCTACGGGGATTGGTCCTACAAAAAAGGGTTGGGGGAAATGGGCCTGATGACCTGGAGGACAGGGGGTCAGGGAACATGAAACGCATAAAAATCGCAGGAATAACAAGGGGACAAAGAGGGGATTTTCCGAGAAGGACAAAACCAAGAGGTCAAAATTTGGGAAGTTGAAGACTCAGATGAATAAAAGGGGATGTTGGGAAGTTTTTCTTCGTTCAAGAGAATCAGGCCGTGGAATACCTAAAAGTACAAGGGGAGGGGGGAACCATACATAGTTTTAGGCAGGTAAGAAGAGCCATGGGGCAGGGAGAGAGGGGACCTAGTAAAATCACGAAGAGGCGGGCCAGGACTGTGACCCACCCCGGAAAACCACAAATAGGAGTAAAAAAAACAACACACAACACATATATTATAAAAAAATATAAAAATATATATATAAATAAAAAATTATATATATATATAAAAATAAAAAATAATATTTATAAAATAACACCACACAGGGAGAAAATCTTTAACCAAGATCTTTCCTTTCCGGGGTTGTCAGGAGCTGTACAATGAAAGACTGCAAAAGATAGGGGAGAAAATTGTCTCGTGAGCCAAGGCAAAGCGTGCAGCGTTGGGGCCCCGCACTACTGCTAAACCCCCAAACCTTCTAGCTTCATCCCGAGATATGAATAGGGAGAGTGCGGCATAAAAATTGTAAATGCGGGTGGAAATTGACGTTGTAGATGGAAGCAGCCAAAAGCTTCGAAAGCCCAGTTTAAATAAGAGAAAGAATTAAGTGATTTTAAGAAAATAGACATAGAAAGGAAAAAAAAAAATTGATTTCTTTCCCTGAGAGAAGACAATGAAAAAAGTTTTTGCGGAAAAAGAAAGAAAACACTGAAGGGCCCATCCTCCGGAAGGGGATTACCCCAGACCCACAGAGGAGCAGAATTTACCCAACGTTTGTGCAGACTCCAAAGTGGCAAATTTTGTGGATTAGGAAAACTAATGAAGAGAAGAACAAAAGAGGAGATAAAAGCGTAATGCTAGCGTGTTTATAAAATAAAACAGGGACAGAAAGAAACTCTGTTGAGATGTTTCGCCCGTGGAACAAGCTTCTTCACTGACTGAATAAGACTTTTCCAGAGGCGAAACGTCATATTAAAATCTCTAGCTGTGTCTTCTCAAAGGAGAGAAGAGGCAAGCTCTATCTCCTGATCCCTCCTGCGGGTTGATAAACAAAACACTTATGCAACATTTGGGCATCTATATTATGGAAACGTATCGCCACACAGTGGCTTCATCAGTCCAGTGCAGAGAAAATCTGAGATAATCAGTCCCTCAGCCTGGAGTCGATGTGTTCAGTATATCAGTTTTGACTTATCAAGACTGATAGACTGAACACATCGACTCCAGGCTAAGGGACTGATCACCCCAAACTCCTCTTCATTTCCCATCTTTCTCTACACTGACTTAAGATTTCCAGAATAAAGATACTAAATGTTAAACAAATATTACACAGGTGTCTTATTTATCAACTTGTCGGGTTTCTAAACCGACGAGTAAGCCCACAACTGCGGGTGAAGGAACCAAAGGTTAGGGTCGGCGATGGCGCACCTGTGTCCGTGGTCGCTCATCACCACCAGGATGGTGTTGTTGAGGTGTCCGTCGCGTCGGAGGGACGTCAGCAGCTGCAGGAGGTCGTTGTCGGCCACGGACACCAGGTTGTAGTCGTCGTGCGACAACTCTGCGTGGAACGCGAAGCCGAACTTGGGAGAGTTCTTGTACTCACTCATGAAGGCGTGAACGTAGTTGAAGAACACCTGGAGGAGGATGTAGCAGTGAACACTTGACGGGGAGGAGGATGTAGCAGTGAACACTTGACGGGGGAGGAGGATGTAGCAGCGAACACTTGACGGGGGAGGACGATGTAGCAGTGAACACTTGACAGGGAGGAGGATGTAGCAATGAACACTTGACGGGGGAGGAGGATGTAGCAGCGAACACTTGACGGGGGAGGAGGATGTAGCAGTGAACACTTGACAGGGAGGAGGATGTAGCAGTGAACACTTGACGGGGGAGGAGGATGTAGCAGCGAACACTTGACGGGGGAGGAGGATGTAGCAGTGAACACTTGACGGGGAGGAGGATGTAGCAGTGAACACTTGACGGGGAGGAGGATGTAGCAGTAAACACTTAACGGGGAGGAGGATGTAGCAGCGAACACTTGACGGGGGAGGAGGATGTAGCAGTGAACACTTGACAGGGAGGAGGTTGTAGCAGTGAACACTTGACGGGGGAGGAGGATGTAGCAGCGAACACTTGACGGGGGAGGAGGATGTAGCAGTGAACACTTGACGGGGAGGAGGATGTAGCAGTGAACACTTGACAGGGAGGAGGATGTAGCAGTGAACACTTGACGGGGGAGGAGGATGTAGCAGCGAACACTTGACGGGGGAGGAGGATGTAGCAGTGAACACTTGACGGGGAGGAGGATGTAGCAGTGAACACTTGACGGGGAGGAGGATGTAGCAGTAAACACTTAACGGGGAGGAGGATGTAGCAGTGAACACTTGACGGGGGAGGAGGATGTGGCAGTGAACACTTGACGGGGGAGGAGGATGTAGCAGTAAACACTTAACGGGGAGGAGGATGTAGCAGTGAACACTTGACGGGGAGGAGGATGTAGCAGTGAACACTTGACGGGGAGGAGGATGTAGCAGTGAACACTTGACGGGGAGGAGGATGTAGCAGTGAACAATTGACGGGGAGGAGGATGTAGCAGTGAACACTTGACGGGGAGGAGGATGTAGCAGTGAACACTTGACGGGGAGGAGGATGTAGCAGTGAACACTTGACGGGGAGGAGGATGTAGCAGTGAACACTTGACGGGGAGGAAGATGTAGCAGTGAACACTTGACGGGGAGGAGGATGTAGCAGTGAACACTTGACGGGGAGGAGGATGTAGCAGTGCACACTTGACGGGGAGGAGGATGTAGCAGTGAACACTTGACGGGGAGGAGGATGTAGCAATGAACACTTGACGGGGGAGCAGGATGTAGCAGTGAACACTTGACAGGGGAGGAGGATGTAACAGTGCACACTTGACGGGGAGGAGGATGTAGCAGTGAACACTTGACGGGGAGGAGGATGTAGCAGTGAACACTTGACGGAGGAGGAGGATGTAGCAGTGAACACTTGACAGGGATGAGGATGTAACAGTTAACACTTGTCGGGGAAGAAGGATGTAGCAGTGAACACTTGACGGGGAGGAGGATGTAGCAGTGAACACTTGACGGGGGAGGAGGATGTAGCAGTGAACACTTGACGGGGGAGGAGGATGTAGTAGTGACCACTTGACGGGGAGGAGGATGTAACAGTGAACGCTTGACGGGGGAGGAGGATGTAGTAGTGAACACTTGACGGGGAGGAGGATGTAGCAGTAAGCACTTGACGGGGGAGGAGGATGTAGCAGTGAACACTTGACAGGGAGGAGGATGTAGCAGTGAACACTTGACGGGGGAGGAGGATGTAGCAGTGAACACTTGACGGGGAGGAGGATGTGGCAGTGAATACTTGACAGGAGAGGAGGATGTAGCAGTGAACACTTGACGGGGAGGAGGATGTAGCAGTGAACACTTGACGGGGAAGGAGGATGTAGCAGTAAACACTTGACGGGGGAGGAGGATGTAGCAGTGAACACTTGACGGGGAGGAGGATGTAGCAGTAAACACTTGACGGGGGAGGAGGATGTAGCAGTGAACACTTGACGGGGGAGGAGGATGTAGCAGTGAACACTTAACGGGGGAGGAGGATGTAGCAGTGAACACTTGACGGGGAGGAGGATGTAGCAGTGAACACTTGACGGAGAGGAGGATGTAGCAGTGAACACTTGACGGGGGAGGAGGATGTAGCAGTGAACACTTGACGGGGGAGGAGGATGTAGCAGTGAACACTTGACGGGGAGGAGGATGTAGCAGTGAACACTTGACGGGGGAGGAGGATGTAGCAGTGAACACTTGACGGGGGAGGAGGATGTAGCAGTGAACACTTGACGGGGAGGAGGATGTAGCAGTGAATACTTGACGGGGGAGGAGGATGTAGCAGTGAACACTTGACGGGGGAGGAGATGGAGTGTAAATAAAGACGTTTACAGAAAGGACAGCCTTTATCAATGTAGCATCTCGCCTGTCAGCCATCCCAGGATACAAAACTTTTTTCTGGACTGAGCCTATAAATAATGTAACTTTAGTGACCTATTCTTGCATTTTGTGTATTATATGGAAAATCCATAACTAGAGAGTACAAAAAGCAAATTCCTACACACACACACACACACACACACACACACGGCTCCAGCTGCTGGGCCAGAGAACTAACCTTGTGTCGAGGCGTAGCCCTGAGACACAGCTTGGGATGGTTCTTGTACTCCGGGTAGGTGGCCACGAAGAAGGGCCTCATATAATGGTCCGTGGGAGAGGCATCAAACCCACGGAGGCGGTACTGGAAGGTGCCAATATGGGGCTGGTCCTCCGCGAACACTGCCAATCATACACTACCTTAGTAATAACGAAATCATACGCACATCTGCTGTAGATATGTATATCGTTCACATTAACTCCCCCGTGGCCTGGTGTCTAAAGCTTTCGCTTCACACGGCGAGTGTCCGGGTTCGATTCCCGGCGAGGGTAGAAACATTGGGCGTCTATGATCCCCATCAGTAAAATGGGTAGCTGGGTGATAGTCGACAGGTATGGGTCGCATCCTGGGACAAAATTAAGGGATTCACCCAGTTCGTGAAACCTAGCTCTCACAGCAGGCTCCA